ACCGCGTGATCACGCTTTGCTGCTTCTCGTGTTGTACACTGTGTACACTTTTCGGGGGATGTTCTCGGCTTTCTCTCTCTTTCTCGTCGCCCACCCATTTCGAGGCTCGCGATTTTTTCTAGCCGATCGAGCGAGCCTCGCGATCGTTTCGGATCATTTCGAGAAACGTTGCATAAATCGTCATGTTTCAGCGCTTCTCCCATTTTACGATCCCTGATGCTATTCTTGCTTCATCTTTTCTCATATTGCTACACCGTATATATAGGAATATTTATAAACAGCCGCGTTTGTAATTTTTAATAAATAAGCTCTTGTGTATCTTTGAAAAATTATATGTATGAGCTTTAATTAAATCTAGTCTTGTGTAAAAATATATTAAAAAAGTAAAACTCTTCTCTCGACCGTACTGGCGAATATTATTTATTAATAATATATGATATTTTAATTATTAAATCTCACAACGTTTCGACCCTTCGTTGAGTCGTTATCGAGTGATTTGTGAAAATAAAAATAAAATTATAATTTTAAGATGTCACAAGAACGAATATAGTGTCGGTTTGACAACACGTCAAGACTCTTAGACGAGTTATGAGAGAAAAATCTATAATAAATTTTTGAAAATAATTTTTTTGTATAAAGACAACATTCACTATTATAATCCTATATTTATTCGCTACTTAATAATATATTCTTGGTTGCAAAAATAACGAATCGCAGACCTGTTTTCTCGTACGTGGACGATCGCACGATTAAACGATGTGATTAGGGCACGATTAAGCGGTTGCGAAAGACACATCGTGGATCCCGCGTGCGCGCGACAGGTGAAATATAATTTATACTTATACGGGATGCTGCGTAAACGTATATTTCGTGAGTCCCCATCGCATCCGGGCCTGTTCGAGATATAAATAATTGTTGTCTCTGGTTTTCGCCGCCGGAGGCAAGCGACTCATAACTCAAGCGCTCCCTGTTGATTCCCTAATTTCCGACGAAACGCGTAAGGTCGATCGCTATTTCGTTACATTATATTCGTTAATATGTGTCCAATAAAATAACGAAACTTATAGAATGAAATGCCATCGTTGCGGTAATCGGTGAATTTTTTAAACTTCTCGAGCGATTTATCTCGAGACGAGGGACGAATCGTTTTCAACATGTTCGTGGATGCATAATAAAGAATATGTAATATTGTCAGAAGAGATTCAGCCATGGTATTCGATGAATTTCTCATATGATAATTTCGTCTCCATGTATTTATAATGAGCCTTAGACTTTTGGAAGAAATATCTTCTTCTCTTAAGAAGATTGCGGAGATAGGCTTTGCTACCGTGAGACTGATTTTGGATAAAGATCTTTGAATAAAAATGTCTGGCAGATATAAAATCGATTTAGTCGAAAGTTAGTGTAAGAATTTTGCTCTCTCGATCTCTAATGTTATTTTTAGATTTAAATAAAAAATTTCTGGGTACGAATATCAATAATCTATTTGCATTATTCATTCGTGCTTTTTTCTAAACTACTTCATCATTTCTATTGCAATTTTCAACTAACGCGCATATATATATAAAATAAATCAATCTTATAGAACTTTCACATTAATACTGATTTACTGTTTATATAAATGAAAACATCGCTTTCTCTTCTTCTACAAATTCCCCTCTGTCGCTCTTAAAAAGAGAGCGACGCATTCCATCCATTTACTGCAATCTTCATAATTACATTTTATTTCATTTTATCTGCTTCTACAATTGTTCCGTCTCTTTCTCATTCTCTCTCTCTCTCTCTCGTCGTATAAGAAAAATTCCATGTCGACGCTTGGTGCTTGGCAGCACTCTCGCGGCTTGGCATTCCGCGATCCAGGGTCCGCCATTGGCTTATTCGCCCGCATCAATTAGGTATTTTAATCGGAAAGGCACCGCGGAATAGTTGCGATACTACAACGGCGCGCATTTACGATACGAGCGCGGGCAGGCATGCTTGGAGAATTGGAACGTGGTTGCGTTAACATAATGGAATCCCGTGGAATGTTATAACCATTATATACATATAACGGATTACGTCACGACGCGGCGAGGACGCCAAAGTACGCGCGCCCTGAGAGAGAAAGAGAGAAGGATAATGCGCCGGCCGCGGAGAGAGATTGTCGATCGCTCACCTTAATTTCCTAGATTGAACTCTTAGCTGCCAAGTCAGTCTCGTTCCGCGCTTTTCCGCGCGTAAACGCTCGTAAAGCGGTTTCCCGCGCACGAAGAGTGAAAGAGAGCACGAGGGTTTCCTCTCTCCCGATATTTGTCCGATTCTATAAACACGAAATCTCGGGCTTGACGAAGATTTATATCAGCTCCTCGTCGGAGGAGCTGTCTTCGGATGCAGGTAATTATGTAGGAGTTAAGCTTGACAATCCGCGTAATCAAACACGATAATACTGATTACAGCATCAGCTAAGATAATAATTAAGCTTATTTAATACAGCTTATTTAATTAATGTCCCGCTTAGCTTTGAAACTCGATATTCAATGTACAATTTTCATATTACGTATAACGGTAATTATATATTTTTTCTTCCTTTTTTATATGTTATGTTAAAGTTATACATATTCTTATCCTACTTATCGGATCGCGTTACATAAGCAATATAAAAACATAGATGCCAATGTAAATTATAATATGTAAATATTAGATTTCTCTGGATAAGATAAAACCTTGAATAATACATTGGAAACATTTATCATTTCCGATTGTATTGCAACTCTAAATTATAGTTTTTACAAGCGAAACATATAATCGTTTGAAATTTAATCAAGACATTAAAATTCATAAATCAGTCTTCTTATTATATCGATAGAAATAAAAGTAGCATAATTACGCGGATATGACGAAAGAAGGGAAGAGGAAGAACATTTCGTTAAACGGGAGTTGATTGTCCGGCCTAAGTCGACACAACCAACCCCCGCAACGTCCGACGGTCGTCGCGCTAGTTACAAAACGGCTTGTAACTAGCCGCACGCTTAATAACTTGCGCCGGTAGCGGACGATAAATAATGCAAGAGACACCGTCGTCCCGATGTAATTAACGAGAGCAGTCGATACCCCAGGCTTGTGCGTGCGTATGTGTGTGTGTGTGTGTGTGTGTGTGTGTGTGTGCGTGCTCGTGTCACGTACGCGCGCGCGAACGCGAACGAGCGCGGTCAATATTTGTCATCCGCTTTAACAAAAGAACGTTACAAAACGCTCGGCCGGATGCACCCCGGCCAAATATTGACTGCGCTCATTGACGTTCATTGATACTCTCAATTAGCGCATACCGTCGAAGCCAATCGCCGGGTAATTGGGATGGCCCTCCACCACCCTCCGCGCGGGAAAAGCGCGGGGGTCTCTCTCTCTTTCTCCCATATCTCCCCTCGGTCCCTTTTCCCGTTCCTCTCGATCAGATGCGAACGCAGTTTCGGCGCGAAAACTCGTCGTCCCCCGACCTCTCGCTATAATTGGCCGCGGACTCCGGTCGCGACTTTTCCGTGAAAGAGCGGCCAATTATATCGCTAGATATAGACACATCGTGCTCTGCCTTCCTCGACGATCGGTCGTTTGCCTTGGCGAGAGGACGAACGCGTGCCCTAATGACGTGAGGCGCGCGCGGAACGCGCGCCCTCTCTCTCTCTCTCTCGTTAACGATCAGTCGGCCGGCCTCTGGCTATCCCGAGACGGGAAAACGTCTTCATTCGTTACCAGGGGGAAAATTGCACGATTTCGAGTTAACTGCTCCCCCTCCGAAGGGTGAAACTTTTCCGTCGAGAAGGGAAGTTGCTCGGCGCGCTTTCTTATTTCGATTCACGACGCGCGCCCGGCACATTTGATATCGGCGCGGAGGAAACTTTTAATTGACTCTCTCCCGTTGCCGAAATTATTTCTAAATGTTGGCCAAATATATATTGGAATATTTCTCTTTTCGTTTATATTTGTTATCCGATATTGGAATTAATTTAAAATACATATGCGCGCGCGCGCGCGAAACTTTTTTAATGACGATACGGAGAAATTTATTTGCTCGTTTATTTAATGTTTTTAATGGTAAGATTAGATTTGTAATGCGCAGCTTGATAAGATTGTACCGTTATTTAAATTTTAGAAAATGTATTTTAGTAAATTTCCAATCTGCATGCACAAATCATATACATATATAATATTATATGTATATACGCAGGAAAAAAAATGATAGAAAAGCCTTTTCCTTACATCCTGCAAAATTGACCAATTTTTTTATGACACTTCTTATGAATCATATAAAACCTAACGTTATTTCTCTGACGGAAATGCTTTTCTTATCTTATTATCGTTATAACAGCAAGTGTAATTCTGACTTTTTTATCATCTTCCTGCATTTTATTTCTACTAATTTATCTTTGGCAAAAAGAGAAGCAATATTCTTTCGGTATAAAAACAGGAAAACTATTCTCGGTGCATCAGAATATATATCTGAGTGGTTCGGCGTTATCACGAGCATAAAAATCTCCTAATTACAACACTCCATGTAATTACGGACTTCTTGTTATACAATTTGCATCGAAAATTACATATCAGCACCGACGCGTGCAAAGACAAATGTTCCTCCGGGGAAAAAAAAAGATTAATCGCACAAAACAGTATCAGTATGCTTATAAAGAATCATTCATTCGGCAATGATTCTCAGAGATACACGCCTCTATAATAGTATGAGTAATAACTAAGTAGAGAACCTTCTTACGCGTTCACGAACGAAAATCATTTCGATGCATTTCATTTTTTAATATATAATTTTTTTAATGTATAACATTTCTTATGTAGATTAAATTGAACACCTTTTCACGAAATTGCGGACGGACACCCATCTTAACGATAATAACATTTCACTCTAATTAATTCTCCTGATGCTTAAATAGCGTATTCAGAAATTTATTCGAAAAAAAATTCACTCGCTATTCGCATGAATGGGATCTGACGCATAAATTTCTCTTCGCGCAATTCTAAAAAACGGAGAATGATAGATGCTAAATAAAGAAAAGTTGACTCACCCTTTCCTCCTCCCGAATCATCTCCGCGATGCCGGGCTTGATCTCGAGATCGTCGGCAGTGACAGTCTGACTGCCGGTGCCCTGCGAATGATGCTGCTGCTGCTGCTGTTGTTGTTGCTGCTGCTGTTGCTGTTGAACGGTGAGCGGTTGACCGTGGGCGCCCAGGTGGTTGACGGGCGCGTGCGGACCGGAAGTCACGTGGCCGGGCACGTGGTGGGTCGACAGGGGGTGCGAACTCTGCTGTCCCTGCGGCGGCGGCGGCGGGGGTGGTGGTAAGGGCAGCGAGACAGGAAGGTCCTGCATGTTGATCTGCGGAGTGACGGAGATGCTAGGCATACTGGGCGTGCTAGGCGAGCCTAGGGACCTGGGTGTCGAGCTGGCGGTCGGCGGTATCATGTTGTGGATCTCGGGGATGACGATGTTGCCGGCGATCACGTCTTGGTCGTCGACGATGCTGCCGGGGCCCATGCGCTCCGGACTGGTGTTGCTGGACGGGGAACGCTCGCCGGACACCCGGCGACGTTTCTTCCGCTGCAACGCCGCGGTCGCGACCTCCTCTAAGGTCGGTCTGGACGTCAGTTCCTGTTCGCTGTTGACGTCCGCGAGGCCGCGAATCTTGAGGCTCTCCGCGACCTTGAGCAGCGGCCCGATCTGCTCCTGGGAGACGTTGATCTCGCCCTTGTACATAAACTCGACCGCAGCTTTCAGCTCCGGCCATTTGATGTCCTTCATAATGACGATCGGGTGTTGGCAGGGATTGTCGAAGAAGAGTGCTTGAAAATAGGGGCTGCAGGCCGAGAGGACCATCTTGTGAGCCTTGACGCTGTGCCCGTCGCAGGCTAAGGTCACGTCTACGAAGCTTTCGCTCTGTAAGAGCTGATCGAAGACGTTGGTTAGGTTAGTCTGATAATTGTTCCAGCGCAAACAAAATTGCTGGGGTGACCCAGCACCGCTTTGTTGCGTCATGATGTCGGGCGTGATGTGGCTTCCGCTTGTTTTGTTCCACAAGAGAGAAAGGGTTATATCCTTCTTCTCTTTCTCTATCGCTTTCTCTTCGACCTGTTCCTCTTCTTCTCTCTGTTTATCTTTCTCCTCGTGGCGGGTCTCGCCTCGGATTCTCGTTGTCGATGACGTTAGGTCTGATCGGATCAGTAACAAGGCCGCATCTGCAACACACACATGCACAACCACACGTAAACTTCCAGATGTCCGCGCGAAGGGACGCGGGGAGAAGCGAGAGCAGCTTTATCCGCGCGCCTCGTGGCAACGTGCGCGGATCTGTCAGACGCGAACCGACGCGGACGTCATCGTCCCAACGGGACGTCGCGGTCGTGCATCTTTCGGCCTAACTCCGAAACGTGGCGTACTCGAGTAACTCTCTACTTCACTCCCGTTAAAAAAAGTTAGAGTCCACCTTGTCTCCCCCAACGAAGCATCATCCGTAATGGAGGTTTCCCAAGGGATCGGGACTGGGGTCACCTCCCTGCACCACACTTTTATTCTCTCCTTTTTTTTCCCCCTATGTACCTAACCACCAATTTTGTCAGTCTCAAAGAGTCTCTGTCGTTTTCTGTCCGAGAGAAAAAGAGTCAGACTTCACCATGAAAAACCACCCACCACCGAAATACCCCGAAACGCGACGACGACAGCAACGATCGACGACGTTGCGGTTTCCGCGACGGAATCGCACGTTACGAATACAAATACGGATAGACGCGAGAAACGGCGTGCGGCGTGCGGCCCGGGTGTCCGCGTGAGAGACGCGTGCTGCGCGCGACGTAGGGTGTCGGAACGACAAGCGACGTACGATCTGCACCCCGTGACGAGCGCGTCGCGACTGAGAGGACTAGCAGCGCGGCGGCGGTTCGCTCGAGCGGCAGTGGTGGCACCATGCGCGGCGCGGTGCGGAGCGCGGCGCGGCGCGGCGCGGCGCGACGTGGAGCGGCAGCGGCGACGGCGACGGTGGCGGCCGATATCGCGCGCGCTCGCGTGAGGACGCGGTGCGGCGCGACGGCGGCTACAGCGGGCTGACGGCAGGAGAGACAGAGAGAGCGAGAGAGAGAGAGAGAGAGAGGACGCGTCGCGCGGGCAAGGAGATGGAAATGTTGCGCGCTGCGCGGGTAGAGGCGCCCGCCACCGTACCTCACGCGTCCTCACATTCCCCTCGCACCGAGGCAATGCCGGCCAATAGCGCGGCTCGCCTTTCGATCAAACGCGCCGCCCCCGGAGACCGCCTCATACCTCCTCTCTCACTCTCGCGGCCTTCCGCGAGGCCGCTTTGTCTGCCGTTCCGAGAAGGAGAGAATTCTCTCTCGCGCGGCATCGGCCCCGGCGAGGCCCACCGATCGGCCTCCCGAAACGGCGATCCGCTGATGATGATGAGAGGAGGCCGCGCTTTGCTGATGGCGGAGGTGGTAGTGGTGGTTGTTCTGTCGTTACTAGTATCACCGAGCGGTGGTGGAGAGCACGGCGGCACCGACGGCGACGACGAGGATGATGACGGAGACGCTGCTTTCTCTCTTTCTGCAGATGTCTCGACGTAGAAATCGATGCGTTCTAGGAAAGAATCGTGCGATTCATCCCCGCGAAGGGGCTGGGTATAGTAGGTTTTGCCTACTTCGTATCAACGATGAGATTTAAACGAGTGGGTAACGTGAAAACAATTTTTGAGAGACCATTCCGTAAGACTCTCCGACGATCTGAGATGTTTACGAGAGGCGCGAACGCATCTGATTGTGAAACTTCAAAGTATCAGTTTCGAATTGATTGTCAACGTGAAAGTTTTAATTGGAATCTATCAAAAAATGGACGTGTACGCTCAAAGTTGAAGAAATAGAAATAACGAAGAACGATTTCGAGAGAATCGGTCCAACTCGATTTCTTCACAAGGATGAACAGAGACGCATCAGCGCGTAGAATTCAATTCGCGAATGTTAAAATAATGATCAAGATTTGTTCTTTTACAGCGGTTGTAAGTGAGTTCAACGAATGCTGGCGGCGGCAGCGACGTCAAGGGAGACTTCTACAAACGCGGAGGGTGTTTTTGAATTTCCGAGAAAGCTCTCGAGTCTCGCAGTATTAAGTATAAGGATCTTATTGCACCTGCGCACAATAACGATTGTCCTGATAGCGACGAGATGAACGACTAGAAACGTGCGGCGTTCTAACCGTATCTTCTAAATGAGTCTGGTGTACACCGCATTGCACAGCCCGATTACTCGCCGCATTCTTCTTGGAAAGTTACGACGGTAATAAATAGACGTCGTAAGTTGATGAATAAATGATATTTTATACTGATTCTAGAACATATTTCTCAAAAGTCCCGGAAATATACGGTCGATAGTCAAACACATGTGTCTACAATTTTGAAATCCCCGATTTAATAAGATAGAAACTGTAATCTAGCGGAAGTAATAACTAAGAGAAAAGATAGAGAGATGCGTGCGAGTGCATTTTGTTTTTTGATATAGGTACTTTAATAATGGATATCTGGTATCAAAATAATTCAAGAAGGAAAATATGTTTTCTGTCTCTAAACTAAAACTACTTTGGAAGTAAGAAAGAATAGCATCTTTTCGATGTACAAAGTTCTGGGATAGCTCCAGAATAGACGATCATAGTTGTAGAGATAGATGACTGTAATAGAAGCTGCGCGCTAAAATATTTGCCCAAGTAATAAGTTCTTTAAGCAAGAATATAGTAGCAATCTTAATCAACCATCACATCTATGTCTTCCTATCTAATTCGAATGTATATATATATCTATAATTTTTAATTAAAAATCCAAGTCGCAAAGTGGGTGGCTATTATTCCGACATTGCTCATTCACACGAGAATAGTCCATGTTATTGTCCATCACATTAACAACAATCTTATGCGTACATACGTGTGCATGTGTGTATGTGTGTGTGTACGCGCGAGCCGCACCCCAAAGGATCCACCCTTTCTTTTCCCGCGGTGGCACGTGGCGGAGTAATTGGGGATGCAAAGAGCAGACGATTATTCAGCGTCGACGCGGTTTTACCGTCTGCTGTCTCCCGAGGACCGACAAGACGATATTGACGATCGAATTTGGGCAGTCGTGCCTCGATAACGGAGTTACGGAGCGCGACGTCGCCGGTGCCGGTCGGGAAAGATGGCGGTCTTAATCAAATTAAGGCTACAAAGAGAAACGGTCCGGTCCGACCCTTGCGAGCCACCCGCCGGACTCCCCTAACTGGCTATTAACTCGAATTTTGGTAATAGCGAGCGTCAGGTGGGGCGACCGGCCGATCGTCTAAGCATCCGCGAAATTTCCCTTTAAGCTTATTGTCAGCTTCTTCAGAATTTTAAACGTCCCATAAGAAACGCAGAAACGATTGAACCAGATACGCAGTATAATATTCAATCAGTAATTTTATATTTCAAAAATTTACGACACAAAAAGTCGTTCTCTTTTAATATACGCGAATTAATAATGATGTCAGTGCTGCAATAATGCTAAAACTATAGGAACGCAAAACTAAAGAACGAATAGGTCTCGCTAGAAGGATATATCTTCGGAATTCGTTCGTGTTCCTTTTTTTTTTCGATATACAGATTTATCGGCGTACTGCGGATTCATCGTAAAGAATGTAGAGTAGTCTCTAACACGATTTCGGTCCCCGCTCGAAATCGACTGCCCTGACTACCCCTGTCTCCCTTGCCGTGCGTAAAGCCGTATGCGCGATATTAGAAGCATAAAAAACGGGGGTAACGCGGTAGCGATGCCGAACGGCGAATGAGTCGGATATACGTGGACGAATAACGACGCCCGCGGGCTTTCTGATGAAGGAATATCGCCCGTCCTTTACGGACCGCAGAACGCATAAAAACGCGAGGCGGCCGGTCGCGTGCGTTATTTTTTCGCAAGTCGTACCGCGATCTATTCCTTCGCCGTGTGTGATTATCATCATGTCGCGCGTTCGCGGAAATGTCAATCGTTTTGTGACCGTACATTTCCGCATATTATTATTAGCGTCTCCAATTATTACGCAAGTACATTATTGTAAATGTCTGGAATTATTATAAATACGAATTTAACTTATCCTCTATTCGTTCGAAGAATATCGTAACTTTTTCATAACTGGAAATGAAAATGACATTTGATCGTGGAAATAAAGAAACGCGAAATATAATTTATTTGTTAGAATAAAGATAAATTCAATCGTATTTTTTTATTGCATATAAGATTTTGTAAAGAACTTGCTGCGTCGTCGCGGAGGAGGAATATTATTGTGACAATATATCGAATTCTATATTAAACTTTTTCTTGCGCAAACACCGAGAAACTTGTTAGTTGCAAGAACAGCAGAGAATGACGCTATATCCCCCGCAACAAAAATGCAAGCGTACATTCGCTGTAAAAGCGCGAATACGTACGACTTACATTTACCGTCGCAACAACTTTAGTTGCTGTTACTCGAACAGCAAATATGTAATATCAAACTTGATGTTACCGTAACATGGTTTATGTCGGCATAATATTTACAAAATATCGATGTTGCTCGTCAACTATACAACCTATTTTTTTTTCTCTTACAATTTCGCAAGATTTTCCTGTTTTAATTTTCGTTCCTTCTTATTTAGAAAAATGAAGACATTATATTGATTCTACGAATTTCCTTCGCGAATCCATTCCCGGTATTTTGCAAACGAAAAAAGTAAACAACATTCAGAACGCAGTATCCGCTAAGCCGTGGATCATCGCAAACCCGGAACGGCAAACGGCAAAGCGGGGGTTGGCACTGGTCATAACGCCCGTATTTCTCATATCGTTGATACTTTCACCCTTGCGTAGGGCGCATTGTAAGAGGGCGCGAGGCCGAGCAGGTGGTGGGCCATAAATTTTACTACGTAATATTGTTTAACTGCAAACAGTATACTAACGCCATCCGTCGTGGAGCTGGCGCGGAAAAATTTCGACCCAGCCGAGGAGTCGCGAGCAGGGATCTTTGTTCGAGAAATCTGAATTGTTTTCGTTAACAATCGCGACGATCGCGATTTCGCTTCAACCGCGATGATCTCGAAGCTGAGAGTTCTCGATCGTGATCTGCGATTTCGTACACGTTAAGGGGGAACGATTCGAAAGGGGGTCGGACAGTACTTTCTCGTCCCGACAATACACTCTCGGGAGCAAGTTATGAAA